ATTGACGGGGAAACCGGTGCGGCTCCCCGACTGCTAAGGCCTTGTTTGCTGCTGCTGTGGTCTTGCTCAGATCATGGAGTGCTGATCTTGGCCTGGGCGCTAGAGCTTAATTACACTCCAGCTGTGCCAGCTACCTGTGAACGAGGGTGCCTGCGGTCCAATGAGGGAGCCGGGAGCTGTCCATTCACATCCAATCAGGTCTTGGCATTAGTCATCGAGAGGCTGCTGATGGTGAGGTGCGAGGACACGGCTTTGGACCTGGACCCAACCTGGGGAAGTGCGCCGCGCTGCAGATTGCGGGGGTCGCCTACAATAGATCCCTAAGTGGTTTATGTAGCTCAGTGGGAGAGCGTCTGCCCGGCAGCTACCTGTATACAATGATGTGGGTTCGAGTCCTGATTGGAGAGGTTATTTATTTATCATATCAGTGCAATAATGCATTATTCTGTCTTTCTTAATGTACACCTCAGTATTACTGATTTCGGATTGAACTGCTCTATCAATATCTACTAAGGTCCTATAGAGAGTATGTGTAAAACTTCGTATCCTTACTCACGTAGATGGGTAATGTCTACAGCAGTGGTTTCCAATCTTCTTCCTTATGTGGCCCCTGACCAATAAATAATAACCTCTTATGATAAGTGCAATGGAGTCAAGAGCTATGGGATAAGACCACGTAGGGAAAGATACCAATTTATTGGTTTGCGAGAGATAATTATATGTAGGTACTATAGGTGAGATAAAATTCGAAATGATTATTTTTAATTGCTCCATAGTCCCACAGAAAGTACCGCACCCCCCTCCCCCCCCGGGAACCATGGCCCACAGATTGGAAATCACTGGTCTATAGCAACTAGGTAGCTCCTAGTTGCCCACTCCTTCCAGAGGGTCGTGTAGCTCAGCGGTAGAGCGTCAGTCAGTTACCTGCCTGCAAAAGACGAGGGTCCCGAACAAAGANAGAAAGAGAAAGAGAGAGAAAAGAAAGAGAAAGAGAGAGAAAAGAAAGAGAAAGAGAGAGAAAAGAAAGAGAAAGGAGTGAAAAGAAAGAGAAAGAAGAGAAAAAGAAAGATGAGAGAGAGAAAAAGAGAGAAAGAGAGAGAAAAGAAAGAGAAAGAGAGAGAAAAAGAAAGAGAAAGAGAGAGAAAAGAAAAGAGAAAAGAGAGAAAAGAAAGAGAAAAGAAGAGAGAAAAGAAAGAGAAAGAGAGAGAAAAAGAAAGAGAAAGAGAGAGAAAAGAAAGAGAAAGAGAGAGAAAAAGAAGAGAGAGAGGAAAAGAAAGAGAAAGAGAGAGAAAAGAAAGAGAAAGAGGAGAGAAAAGAAAAGAGAAAGAGAGAGAAAAGAAAAGAGAAAGGAGAAAAGAAGAGAAAGAGAGAGAAAGAAAAGAGAAAGAGAGAAAAGAAAGAGAAAGAGAGAGAAAAGAAAGAGAAAGAGAGAGAAAAGAAAGAGAAAGAGAAAGAGAGAGAAAAGAAAGAGAAAGAGAAAGAGAGAGAAAAGAAAGAGAAAGAGAAAGAGAGAAAAAGAAAAGAGAAAAAGAAGAAAAGAGAGAGAAAAGAAAGAGAAAGAGAAAGAGAGAGAAAGAAAGAGAAAGAGAGAGAAAAGAAAGAAAGAGAGAGAAAAGAAAGAGAAAGAGAGAGAAAAAGAAAGAGAAAGAGGAAAAAGAGAAAGAGAAAGAGGGAGAAAAAGAAAAGAGAGAGAAAAAAAAGAGAGAGAGAGAGAGAGAGAGAGAGAAAGAGAGAAAGAGAGAGAGAGAGAGAGAGGAGAGAGAGAGAGAGGAGAGAGAGAGAGAGAGAGAGAGAAGAGAGAGAGAGAGAGAGAGAGAGAGAGGGAGGGAGGAGGAGGGAGGGAGGGAGGGAGGGAGGGGGAGAGAGAGAGAGAGAGAGAGAGAAGAGAGAGAGAGAGAGAAGAGGAGAGAGAGAGAGAGGAGAGAGAGAGAGAGAGAGAGAGAGAGAGAGAGAGAGAGAGAGAGGGGGGGAAGGGAGAAGGAGAGGGAGAGAGAATAGAAAGAAAGGGAAAAAGAGAGAGAGATTATGAGAAAGAAAGAGAAAGAGAGAATGAGAAACAAAGAGAAGAAGCAAAAGAGAAAGAAAAAGAAAAAATGAGAAAGATAGAGAAAGAGAGAATGAGAAAGAAAGAGAATGGGAAAGAAAGAGAAAAGAGAAAAGAGAAAGAAAGAAAAAAGAAAGAAAATGAAAAAGAAAGAGAATGAGAAAGAAAGAGAAAAAGAGAAAGAGAATGGGAAAGAAAAAAAAGAGAGAATGAGCAAGAAGAGAAAAGAGAAAGAAGAAATGAGCAAGAGAAAGAAAAAGAGAAAAGAGAGAGAGAAAGAAAGAGAAAGAGAGAGATGAGAAGAAAAGAAAAGAGAAAGAGAGAATGAGAAAGAAAGAGAAAGAGAGAATGAGAAAGAAAAAGAAAAAGAGAAAGAGAGAAAGAAAAAGAGAAAGAGAGAATGAGTAAGAAAGAGAAAAAGAGAAAGAGAGCGAGAATGAAAAGAAAGAAAAAAGAGAAAGAAAGAGAAAAAGAGAAAGGGAAAGAGAAAGAAAGAGAAAAGGAGAAAGAGAGAGAGAGAGAGAGAGAAGGAGAGGTGTGTGTGTGTGTATGTTTTACAATATATTTATCTGTTTATATATAAGTATATTTTAACCATGCATATATCAAGAGGAAGGGTGCAAGAAGGGAAAGGGGGATAAATAAAAATAACATTAATGAATGATAAATAAAAAAAAAGAAAAAAAGTACCTGAGATATGGTAGTGGTGGGAGTGGTGTTGACAGCAGTGGAGTTTGTGCTAGTGTTGGCAGAGGGATTACGGGGATTAGTGCGGCGGCGGTGCAGGGAAGGATGCGGTATAGACGACACTCTGATTTCCCTCTGGTGGTACAGTCATTTGGCTGACCTGCCTCAGGGGAGGTGGATGGGCTAGGGGTGGCGTCCTCTGACAAAGGAGTCACCAAACCCAAGGGAGACTCCTGAAGGCTTCTCATCTTCTCCTCAAATGTGGCAGTGATGGCGCTCAGCAAATCACTACCTGTAACCAATAAACACTGATTTAAGATCCTTGCACATAACACTATCAAGAAGAATAAATCTCATTCATATTGGCTTACAGATATGTTTTTAATCAATGTTTCAACAAAATAAAAACAATTATTTCACATTCATTTGTTACTCTTGCACATTTTTTGACATATGGTAACAAAAGACAAAAAGATTAATAATAATATGTACAAGGTTTTGCAGTATTCTAAATCATTATAAAAATAGCATTCTAAAATCATTATGTCACATCCAATATTTGTACATTACCTTCTATCATTTGTAGTATTAAAAATAACACAAGTAAGAATTTTATGGTTAAACACACAGTACTAGGTATGGTTCACTCAAACTGCTACCACAGCACAAATAGCGTCTTTGTCAAAACACAAAAATTACAGAAAAGTCTATAATTTGGCAAGAGCCTAATAACATCAGATGTATTCAAATTTTCTTTTTATAAGAAAACTGAGTGAAAATTTTCTTTCTAACTGATCACTTCCAGGATCAGCAAATAGTCAAATATTTTGTTTTGACAAAGTTACTTAGCTTAAACACAATTGACAGCAAAGAGTGAAGCAGCTTCTACTCCTACCCTCACCTTCCTTGCCTACACTTTAGCATACTGAATATTAGCGAAGAGGCCCTTGGCTGCCCCCATAATCGAGGACTTGGCAACATGTGGTGGCTTTTCTACCACTACAGTTGAAAGTTCACATGGGGCTGTAAAGGCGATTTGAACATAAAACATCCAGGATTTTATTCAACCAAAGTAAACACTTATTTATAACTGAGCCAAATTTCCGTTACTGTACTAAATGAACAAATAATTAAAGTACAGTGGTAAAAGTCATTACATATTTCTCTATACTGGGCCTTCGCGTCTTAAATGGAGATTTGGTGCAGTTGGGCTACTCAAAATTTAAAGGGTGAAAGTGTAAATGCAAATGTGAATGAATATTGGTGCTTCTGTCTGTGCTAATGCTTATGCCTGTGTATATGAGTATGCACTTATTTATGGATGGTATAATGGACAATAATTTAGCAGAACTCAATCAACTGGGAAGGGGCAAATGATAAAATACATTTAGAAATCATAAAAAAGCATCATTGTATGAATACTGAAACTCCACAAATTCACACCTCTTGTTCCTATTTCCTTATTTCCTAAACAAAGTTTCAACAGAAAGATGCAGGCACTTAAGAAAGATAGGAACATGAAGCAGACCTGAATGGCAGCAGTTGAAAAAGAGAGAAAAAGAGACCATTACCTATCAAATATATACCATGAAATCAGATATGAAATATTTTAATATGAAAATATACAAAAACAAAATAAATTATCCATGGGCATCCCAGCCTGTACAACCAATAAAATGAATCATGCATACAGGGTATGAATACAAAATCCACTCATCTAATCATTCCATTCAATCCAGTAAGCACTCAGTGAGTCAACCACATTACACTTTCCTCAACCAACCCTCAGCTGCCATTCAGCCTTAACCAAGTGTACCCTTAAATATCAGAGATACATATCACTTGACTATTTTAAGTTGTATCAGATGGTATATTCCAACCACTTAAAGGCATTAAATTATCAAAGCCAAATATATCTAAGATCTTTTTCAAAATAAAAGAATTTATCCTTTCAATCAAAACATATTCTATTCTTAAATATATCCAAGAGATCTCTCTGATGTGTTAAAGTATGTCTTTCATAACTAAAATTTTTACAATGGTAAATAAAGGGAAAGAGAAACAAAAAGTCACAATTCATTTTCTCATAACTGAAAAGATTACCTATTGCTTAGACTAAATCTATACAGTACCAACCAATTTGGTTTTATCTTACTTAAATTATGCGAAAAAAATCCCTCATTGAGAAATTTTCATAAAAGGTCATAATAAGATATACTGAAAATTAAATTAGACATTACAATTTGTACAAAGAAAAAAAAGAAAAAAAGAAAAAAAAAGAAAAAGAAAAAAGGAAAATTCATAAAAAAAAAAAAATCCTCATACATGGTAATTCTTGTATAAATAGCTTTGACTTACCATCATCATGGGTATATGTGAACCATCACGTAATGAGTCTAAGGAACCACATCGTGGCATTCCCATTTCTGGACCATTTATAACCTGGAAAGAAATTATAGCAATACAATACCTGAAGTTTTCAGCAATGGTATGAATCATTACCATATTTAAATTTACATTAGACATTTTGTGAAATGTACAGAGAAAAGTAATGCAAATGAAAGCTTGAATACAAATACAAATATTAAATGAACTTCCTGGACCTTAATGTAATTCAAAAATCTATGAGCCTTAACCTTCTACTCTCATGAAAGCTGTTAGCAATATCCACATTCTCTACCAACTTCTGACAACTGGTTTACTAGCATATCAAAAATACCTTAGAACCAATGAAGTGCTGAAAAAGCATATGTGAAGCTGCATTAACTAATAATTCAGGCAGTCTTGAACATAACCTAAAGGGCATTCTAATACCACAGAAACTGTTCTCAAAGAAAATAAAAGGCTTGTAAAGAAAATTCAAAAGGAATATGGAGTGCAAGATGGCACCCCTACCTGATCCCTGCTGGCTCTAGCTCTCTTCAAAGTGCCATTATTAACCACCTTCTGGGTGTTAAAGGTGGAAGGGGAGAGAGTATTGGCGTGCGGCTGAGTCACATTCTCAGCAGAGGATCCTCGGCGAAGGGGTCGGGGAGAATGGTATAGACGACTAGGTAGGATGTGGTGTAACAGTGAGTCTTTTTGACGCCCAAGGATCGGGGTGCTCGGCTGAGGAGTTAGTGTAGAGCTGGGTGCTGTTACGTGAGAAGATTGATTTTGTGAGGAAGGGCGACTATTGTGAGGTGGTGGCCGAGGGCTTTCTGGATAAATTATTGTTTGCCCAATTTACGTGTAGGGGTTAGTTCTGTACCAGCTTCAGCCAATGAAGGAAACAGGGAAGGAGAAAGAAGATGAGGTCAAGCCAAACAGGAAACCAGAACCTTTACTTGATTTCTTTTTCTTTGGAACTGAAGGTGACAACTGTTGTGGTGTACTGGAAGGTTTCCTCCCAATTTTATAATGTTCATTCTGGTAGGAATCTTCAACTGGCTTTTCAGTCAAGAAATCAGCATCATGTTGCTGAGACGAACGAGTTAGACTACCATACCCTGAGCTACTAGATGAAGAAGTAGAACCTAAAGTACTATGAGGCGAAGCTGCATTATATTCAAGCCAACGGTGTGACTGCTGTGGTGTTAGGCCATGCTTAGCATCATTAGTCCTGTTGCATACTAGTCCTGAAACAGGCTCACTATCAACCTGAATAGTAGGAAGTTGTGGAAAGTCATTGTTAGGTACCTGGGTGGTAGCATTAGTGGTGGGTGTGAGTGAAGTGTTAGAGAGGGGATGGTGAGAGAGGGCTGCTGAGATGAGACCAGTCTGGGAACTTGTGCTGGAACTCTGGGAAGTTAGTGATCCTTGGTCCCCACCCATACTCTCACTGAGCCCTTGAAGCCGCCATGAGTAGTCAGAAATCTTGCGCACAACCTCTGTAAGTAAGAGATACAAGTTTAGATATGATAATGAGACATCTTGAAAAAAGTTGCAAATCTGCATATTTTGCAAATCACAATCAGTGAATCTTTCCAATAACCTAACATTAATATAATGCTGGCTAGATATAGTACAATATCAAACTTTAAAAGAAGTAATATTCACTACAGACTTAAAGGAAAACATAAAAGTTAGTATTCATTAATAAGCTCAATCTTGTCTGATTTCAGAACTGAGGTAAGTGTTTAAAGTTACTGCAGTGTGAAAAGGAATCTGAACAGTATCACTTGTTTTTTTAATCTGTGAAATACATCTATATGTCCTACCACAATTGTTATAATATACAAAGACAGTCCTCCATATTTCTTTAAATGTAAAATAGTTTAACATTTTAAACTTGGGATTCAGCGAAGATTTTTCAAATGACAACTGATTTTCACATTATAAATCTATTTATTATACTAATAAGTAAAAAGTGTACCATATCAAATGCAATGATATATTCAAATATGGAATAGAGAAAAGGACTGAAAAAATTGCATAAATCTTTACAAAGTATCATAAGTTATTCAATTCTTTCTTGTTTTCAATGTATTGTGTTGCACTGTGGTGAAGGTGGCTGCTGAGCCTGTCCAACTCTTATAAAATTGCAGATGTCTTCTTTATCACATTATGTGTCGTCTTCATGTATTCTTTACAATTAACATATACATATTTCTTATAATCCAGTGTTTCCCCTTTTATACTGAATATCATTTTTTCTATGAGATAAAGATAAATTCAGTAGGTACCAGAAACATGGAAGTGTCTTAATAAAACTGAATGAACATATCAATACATAATATAAGACTTTAATGTTAGTAATTTTCCAATATTAAAAATGTCAATAAATATGCACCTAATTTTGTTTTGTTCTAAACTATATATAGAGCCTATTTTTGTAATATAAAAAGTAGTATCTCTGATATACACATATAGAACTTATCATACTCTAGAGACCAAATAATACTTATAAAAAATCTATAAACTAGGTCATCCTTCTCTTACTATGCAAAAAAAAAAAAAAAGATATACCAAAAAAAAAAAAAGAAATATTTAACAAAAACAAATAATCATATGGGTATGTACATGTATGTATTTATATATATGTATTCATTTATGCATATAAAAATATATATACATATGCAAACACACACTGATAATACAGCACATATGTAAGTAATGGAAAGCAAGGGAGAACATAGGCATCAAATGAAATATGTTATTAGGGAATAGGCTTTATAATTAAAATCACTTTGTACAAAAGTACCATGTAGAAGCTGGCAATAACAAAAATTAAAGAAATTCCTCTGGTTTAAAAAAACAAAAAATACAGGAAAATAGAAAAAAGGTCTTACTGAAGATACTAGACACAGCTGATAGTAAAACAAATACAACTACATTTGTTCATACATAAAAGAATATTTCTTTATTTACAACTGAAAGAAGACAGGACTAGGAGTCACTCAAGGAAAAGGTGGACAACTGACTGATGGGCAGGGAGAAATACCTCTTCTCTACAAAATTCTTTATATTGCCACTGGTGGAGCCATTGATTTATTCTACTCTTTCCTAAGCCAAGATTTTTATCTTCTGAGCAGCTTACCTTACTGTGATCAATAGATCAATATTTAGAATAAAGACTAAGTACAAAACATTACATACACAAAAGGTATTAACACATTAGTAGTTTCTCCATTTTGTCTTATTCCTGGAGTGATGCACTGTTTTGATACACATAAATTCTAGGTATCCTACTAGGTATACATTAAGTTAACCTATAGTACTTTGAGAAAGAAAAAAGAAAAGAAAAGAAAAAAATAAACATCAACTATAAATGCATTTTGTGCAAGAGTACAAGCCTGAAGTATGGAAAGGTATGGGAAGTAAACATTATGAGCAGATGAGAAATAAAGAAATGATAAACTACAATACTGTGATATTCAAACAAACCCCATTCCAGGCAAACATAAAATTTACAGGAAAACAGAGTGATCTGATGTGAAACTTTTGTCAGTATTAATAAAACCTAACATAGACCATATTATATCACATCTCAGTAACATCCAAACTAACAAAATCAAATATTACTGTATGTATAGTCTTTGGGATAAAACAAAGGCTTGAGATATAAAAATGAAAGACAAATACACAAAAACAATAACAATAAATAATAATAAAAAGTTTACAAAACCACATTCTGTGTATTACAGCTTACACACAAGAATCAAACAGCACGCATACGAAATCCTAGGCTTGTACAGAATATCCTAGTATCTACACATAAGTAAGAGTGAAACAACCTTGAAATCAACTCACACTCTCCAAAACATACAAAACTGAAAACTGAGAAGGATAGATATAAAGTCCAATTTTAATATGCTGCAACATCCAAGAATATATCATGCATGTCTGAGTATGGTAAATGCCTTTAACTAAGTCTAAGTATGCATAAATATGTGATTGTGCATGCAATTCACATATAATGAATAAACAACCATGCAGCATACAACCAGCAAATGTTTGGGGGATAGAATCACCTCTAAACAGCCCTAAAGGCAAAATACCTCATGGAAGCAGATACATTCCAAGTGTTCTATGCAGCCAGGGTACTAGGAAGGCTCTGTTATAAGATATCATTTGTATCATGTTAGTATTGTTAGTTTGTTAGGTGTGAAGACCATAAATGTGTTAAGATTATCAATAAAGCACGTCAAGTATACTAACAGCAGACACACACACTGTCAAACAAGCACTAAGATTTTTTTAAATTGTAGAGTTAACTGCATTAATTCTACTAACAATAGATTTCTCCAATTAACACACTATTACTCATTAACTGCAACCCACAGGATCTGATATAATTGTAGCCAGCAGAAATAGTATATATTATTAGTTAACATAGTTTGAAAGAGATTAAATAAAAAAACTCTAAGGCTGACATGCATATCCCACACAAAATGGAATATTCATTATACTGATTACACTGACATGAAACGAGTGCTAAACATAATGATCAGCAGGAGAATGTATCTTTACAAAGAGATATCAAGCCAATCCACAATTCAGAAGAAGCTTCAATGGACTCATGACTCTAAAACTTATATTTCATGTTAAATCCTGATTATTTGCCAAGCCATCACATCAATTACATCCTCTAAGGTAAAAAGCCTGGCTAAATACATGCAGTTAAGAAGTACTAAAATAACAGTGAATGACATCAAACATATCTTAATATATTCAGATTACATCTAAATATCTATACAGTACATATATATAAAATATATATACAATATACATTCAGTTTTCATAAGCCTATCAATAAACATACTCAAAACACCCATACATGAACACACACACATCTTTCTTTCCTGCTCATTAATCTTAATTTGGCAAAATATGTGATATAAAATTTTCAAATAAGTGTTTTATATGAAATATCTAAGAAGTTGACTTCATAAATCAATTTATGAAAAACAGAATTATTTGCTACTTTTAATATCCAATGAAAGTAAATTCCAAATGTAAATAAACAATTATAGTTAAAATTTAGAGTTTCTGGCAGAGAAGTAGCACACACAGGCAACCATGTCTGTTATATAGTTCACTCAACTATTATTCAATTTACAAATTTAGGGCAAACAAAGGTTTGACCAAAGGAAAGTAAAAGAATCTTAAATAAAGCGAACTCCAGAATCCCACAAAAAAATAATCTTGGTATTAGCAATGGTATAATTTGTATTCTGAACATACTACTCACTAAATGGACTTCAGTAACTTATTTCTATTACAGGTACCAATGATATGATTTATCTCACCTGTTGGGTTGTCAGCTAACTGGTCAAGGATATCTTCTGATTCCATGTCCTGCTTAGCTCGCTGCCAGAGTTCCTCTAGTCTTTCTCCTCCACATCTCTCCTTTCTGTTTCTCTTCTGTGTTTAGTCAGGTCACGGTGAAGCATAGCTCGTGTCTCCATTTCAAATCGCCTGATTCGTTCCTGAGTACTAGCACTGAGGCCAGCATAAGAACGAATAGCTACTTCATCTCCAAAGAGGGAGGATGTCTCTGGTGTTGTCAGCTGACTAGATTGTTGGCAGGAGGGAGCTATGACAGAACTACTACCGGGGGTGGTGGTGTGCTAGAAGATAACGCATCTTTCTTGATAACACAAAACAGACGACCATCCTGTTCAGGTAAACTGTGCTTTCCCTGTTCACTGGCACTAGTCCTTTCGCTACTCTGTGTTAAACTAGACATACTAGAAGGATGACCATGAACACTCATTAAGCTCATATTTGAGATCTTACGTTCACTCATTGGTTTTGGATCTGGTAGTTCAACCATACTTTCAATCTGTTTAGCTAATAATCTTTGCTTTCTTAATTCTGCTTCCTTATCAATATCTCTTTCTTCAAAACCTCCTTCCTTATCACTATATTTAATATCATCTACTGGCTTGTCATCAACTGGCTTTTTATATTTCACTTTGTGAACTTTCCTATTTGCTGCTGAAATGATGGAAGAAACAATATCCTTCTTCAAGTCTCCCTTTGCACCTGAAAACAAGTTAAGATAATATCTTATTATACAGACCAGTAATTATGATTCATCTTTAGTATCATATTTATGGTTATTCAACCATAAAGCACTTTGCACACCTCATACCTTCAACTTTCTGAATGTTGTGAAGAAGTAGTGCTTGGCTAGATGGTGTTTCAGGTTCCATGGTAGGTGATAATGAATCACTTGCAGAACTTTGTAAAACAGATGGACTTAGAGATGGTGGAATTACTTCTTCTCCATCATCATCATTAAAAAACCAAGCTGCCTGCAAATTTTACAAAAGCATGACTTAATTTTGAGCCTTTCTAACTACTTAAAAATATTACTTTCAATATAGGTATATTTAATCTCAGTCTAGCATTTAATCTTACAATTTTAACTTACTTGGCCTATCAATGTCTCAACAATTTTGCACTGATGTGACATGTCTGTAACCATGGTGATCATGTTGTCGTCCCCTGAGCGAACTAGTGTTGGTCCAAACACAATGGCCAAATTTCGGACATCCATTTTGTTAGACTCACTGTTGCTGACAATATGACTTAAGTGAAGCATAAGGAATCTGAGTGTCTCATAGTGATGATCAGGTAATTCTTGTACCTGCAAGAACATACAATATAAATTTTTTGCATCATGGGTGCTCTACATCATAATACTATTTGTTTTTCTCTGAAACAAATATATACATATTCATGATGAATATCAGTCTGTGAATAGAAGGGACATATAGAAGCAAAATGAGCATACATATAGGCTGTAACTTACCAATCTCCTGAGCTCCATTAACCTCTGATTTGGATCCTCTATTTTACTGGCTTCAATGAATAGTGGATAAAGATCACAGGTAAAAAGCGGGTCTGGTAACTTCTGGAAAAACTGCTTTAACATACTGGAGATCACATTCACATCAGACCATCTGGGGGAAGGAAAGTAAGAGGATCTCCTTAGCCTTTTTTGGGAGGATGCACTAAAAAATGGAATACATATGTAGAAGTTAATTTACTTTACATTCAGCAACATACTCAAGATGAAAAACAAAAGAGATAAATAATATATCACTTACCTTGGGTCACTATAGTCAATAGCTTTGGGTCCCTTGTTGATCATCTCGGTTAAATGTGTTACTGCTGCTTTATTTCCTGGGATACGATAGATGCCCTGAGTTTGTAAACCTCTGGTCTCCACAACACTGACACAGAGGGCCACCAATAGTGGAACAAATTCATTTTCTTCTGACTGTAATAGAAGAATAACATATGACAGTTACTTTTATTAGTTGGTTACTATGAAGATAGAATACTTCATATTATCAAAGAAAATAAAGAAACAAACAAGAGGTGATCATAATATCTAACCTTTTATCTATATAGCAATAAAAAACTTACACAATCAACTGCTGATTAAAAATCTAAGCAACAGTACAATGGGAATGAGGAAGAAAAGACAAACACCACAGAACTTACTTGTGGGCAATCTTCTAAGCATACACCTATTGTTGCACCCTCTGGATGGGGGGTGGTAGGGGTGATGGCAGGGGAGCCACCTTGGATCTTCTTCATGAAGGGTCTTACAAGATTGCCTCTCCAAGTCTTAGACTTAGGTGAAGAATTGCTCTCTGAAAAATCAAAATATCTCATTTATGTACACAATTAATATTCCAAGTTCTGAAATTAATAACAACAATAATTGTGCATGTATAAATACTACTAATACTACTACACTTTATTTGTATCTTTATGTGGGCGCGCGTGTATATGCCTTAAGGTGCGAAGAGCTGGTGCATACGTGCGCTCAGATCATGTTACACTAAGCAATTCCTTTACAACGAATGTATGAATATTCAGAAAGGAGTGCCGCCGCCTCACTCACCGACGCTGCTAGGCTTTCGGGTCTTGGTCGACGGCGACTGCCCGGTGGGCGAGCGCGTTCGCAGTGACGAGGTCAGTTTCCGCATCGCCTTGTTGCTAGTCTGCGGCGATACGTTGTTATTGTTCATGGGGGTTTTGCTGCATGCCTCTCCTTCCTGTGAACGGGGAAAATAATAGCATTAACATAACAAGAAAACTTTTAAACCTTTAAGTTCGAACTAAATAATTTCGAAGATTTGGACTTGACCATAAATCAAGTTTTTGTTGACTTGACAATGTATTACCCTTTATGAAAGATGTCTCTGATTTTTGCATTCTAATTGAAGCAGCACAACTACTACAGAAAGAGGAGAATATTTTGATGTCTACCTAAACATTACTGAATGCAGTTTTGACTGCAGTACCCAGGGTGAGAAAGTGAAGTCGGCGATATTTTAGATGTGAAAATGTAAAACATTTTCCACGGAAACGTAAAATTATGTTTTTGATGTCTTCAAATAAACCACCATACTAAATTTGTTATGAATCCTTGGGTTGTGTGAAGTAACCGTTAGCTATTTATGTTTATATTTAAGAACTGCGTTACGGAAAGAGTTGGAGACATCTGCTATTAATTTTCGCTCTTAGACACTGCGACATTGCTACTGGCCTACGGTTACCTCTACTTATAGAGGAGCCTATTTTTGATGTAAGAAAAGGAGGTGACGTCCAGTGTGTGGCTGATACTTACCTGTATGGCACAGTTATTCTGCAGAGTGGAGAGCCAAGCCAGCATCTCCGGCGGAGTGTCGGCCTGGAGCAGCAGCTGCGACCCGCCCGGCGTGGCCAGGCGCAGCACATTCCGCCTCTTGGTGTAGTCGCTCGCTACTTCCACTTCGGCGCCACGCAGGGAGATCTGGTCCTCTACACCCAAGGGGTCTGCAACACAAAAAAAAACCGTTTGTTAGATATTAAAGCTCTGTAAATACAAAGAAAGTCGAACATCTACAAAATATTTCTTATATATATATATTTATAATTACACTCAATATTCGTATATATTTGCATATACACATACACATTTATCTGTGTGTGTGTGTGTGTGTGGTGTGTGTGTGTGTGTGTGTGTGTGTGTGTGTTGTGTGTGTGTGTGTGTGTGTGTGTGTGTGTGTGTGTGTGTGTGTGTGTGTGTGTGCGCGCGCGCGCGCGCTCGTGCGTGTATGCGTGAGTTTTCAGTCTAATCAGATGAATGAATATTCTAAGCAAGACGGCAGCGTGTGCGAATTGCCTGCAGACGGGAACAAAGTCTACATAAGACCTTGGCCTGGAGTACCCAACGCCCGGGACAAACTGCTCGAGGCCCTGCTCATGTTAAGGCTAAATATTTATGAGGGAGGTGATGATGATGCAATTAGGTCAAAGTGTAATAAATGTTTGGGCTTGGCGGGGAAAGACGGGGTACACTCGCTCTCACTCACTCCTCGCTTGTTCCGACCTCGAGCTGGCCTCCAGAAGGAACACAGGCTGAAGTCAGCCTCGAGGCAAGGTGGGTCGCATCCCGAGAACGGAGAGGAGCAAGGGAAGGACAAACGTGAAGAAAGGAGAGGCGAAGAAATAAAATAAAGGCGAGGAATATAGGGAAAAGCAGTGGGTAAAATGTATGCAGAAGATATGTGGAAAAAAGGAAGAAAGGAAATTAGAGACGAAGGAATATAAAAGAAGCCCTCCTCCTTCTACTACTCCTGGAGTCAGCCTTCCTTAGGACGGCAGGCTCTCACCTGACACCCCGCCGCTGTAACTCAACGCCTCTCCGACTTATACAACACACTTGCCTTTGTTACTACAGAGGAAAGTTACCCTAACCTGTTACTATGGGGGTTAGTTTACCTTAATATTAAAGAGGCTTTATTACCATGTATCACTAAGAAAGTAACGATTTTCTACTCTTACTGATAATGGTTAATGGAATAAGAGACATCAGCGATTCTTTTATGAAAGCTATGTAGCCTGATTGCAACTATTAGTGATTTACCTTCATAAGTTGAATGTAAATTACGTAAAACTACTTGGGTTTACTTCTTAAACTTTCTAAAATGAAGACCAGAGTGCACGAAAGAGGCTTCCTGTAGACCACGGGAAAATGGATATCACGTAACAAATCCAAATTTAAAAATGGCAACGTTATACTCATCAGTCATTAAAACAGTTTTGCCCTAAGCAGTTTCGCCATCCCCTCACTTACCCAGGAGCCATATGAGGAAAGGTTCCAGAACCGAGGAATGCGTCCGTTGGCAGCCACGGCGGCCATGGGAACGCAAGCGATCTTCATGGTGCCGCTGCTCGTACTCAAGGGAGGGTGACAGCGAGGTGTTCAACCGAAGGGCGAGGGAGGACCAGTAGAGAGAAAGGTCGAGGGAGAACCAATGAGACAACACGGCAGGTTCACTCTCGTGAGTACCGGCAGCATGTAGCTCACTCTGTGCTGCCCTCCCCTACAGAGC